GAGGAGGAAAAAAAAAAAGTGTGAGAAAAGTCATTAAATGTTACCATACCATATGGTGGCAGTTGGCACCGGCTCACATTGGAATTGTCATCCTCTCCTTATTCCCAGTCTTCCCTCTGGTGGCAGTGACAGAGATGGCTGTGAAGTCCTAGTCTACACCTGAAGAGTTGTGAGCAGGAGTCACAAAAGAGTGTAGGTGGTGGACATGGCTGGGCTAGCCGGGCCCTCCTGACAGTATATCACAGGTCATTGACAGTTGAACTCTAAAGTCTCAGTCTCTACTCAGATGGTACTACACCAGGAAGGCTGATTTGCAGCAATGGTTTCCCAGGTCTCAGGGTTGATGTTGGCCTGTGTCAGGGATGTTTTCAATTGATCCTTGAAGTGTTGTTTTGGTTCTCCATATAGAGAGACACATTCTATGTACAATTACAGAAAACTACAGTAGGAAAGATATTTAACCTATAGCCCCAGTTAAGTGGCAGTTCTAAAATAATGCCATTTACCCAAAATGTTCAGACAGTATAAGAGAAAACAGTTAGGTCTCAACTTGCTAAAACTTTTTAGAAAAACCTTCATGATATTTGCATCACAGACATACAAAAAATACATCTCCACTGAGGAATTGTTTGCAAAATAATAAATGTTGGGGAAAAATGTATGACAAAGTGAAAAAAGTTTTCTTGTGACGTATTTTGTCCTTCAGGACTTGATCAGATTAAACTTAGATTTTCCACTTTGTCATACATTGTTCCCCAATATTGTCCTATAAAAAATATATATTGTGATCTCAAAATAATAAATACAAATTTGTTGATTTACAATATTTATTTCAATAAGTGACCAAATCATTTTATCCAGATGCCTTTAAAAGGATTTCTTCCTCCACTTGGCTCTTACAATCCTTCAGTTTTTAAAGCACTTTGAAGCATTTAACCAACTATCACCATTGTTTTCATAGTTTCTAGCAGGAAAAAAGCTGTTATTTCCCAGTGTTCAAACTTCATCATCATCATCACTAAAGAGGTAATTATTTAATACTGCATCTAAACAGTCACTTGTTACAAAGTCAGTCTCCAGCCAGAGGTTTTATGGAAATGGGTACAGTACAAATACAATAATAGAAAGAAAGGTGAAAAGAGATTGGGAGTGGGGTGAATGTACAATACCTCAAATGCTGACAGAAGTGGTAGAACTGGTCAGTAAAAGACAATATTTATTGGTTGATGCCAGTTTTATAGGATATCTCTGGGTAAGAGAAAAATAAACTGAGACTTGGGGGTTTAAGATATTTTCAATAGGAAAAGCACCCAACCTGTACAGTGTGGAGCTTTTATTACTAAAGAGTAGAGCTAAAGAGAATTGTAGTTGTATACAGCCCTGGTAGAATGTTGCAGATTTAGTTAAATGGCATTTCTTTTGAATATGACTGGCAGAAATGTTCTAATAATTTTAACCTAAACCTCAATTAGTAAATTTCACTTGTCCCTTTGATGTGTTTTCATCTGTGAGTACTGGATTTCACATAAGTGTATTAAAAAAAAAATTCCCTCAAATTTTTGCACCTATCAGATGAACCAATTCAAATTTTATGTGTGTAAGAGTGCAGTTTTATGTTAGAGGTATGTAATAATGTATTTATTTTTTAAAAATCAAAAAAATGTTTTGGGCCAGGGCTCTGTATTCAACAAATAGAGAAATAACTCACAAGATCAAGTGGTTGACAAATACTGATAAATTTTCTTCAACTTAAAGTTAAAAAAAAAAAAAAATCAAACAAAATGTTAAAAATGTAGACTTTTGTTTGATGTAGAAGTTTTAATATGAAATAAAATACTTTTTGAAAATTAACACATTTTATTGGGACACCCAACTTGATTAGTCAAACAGACTCAATATTGTTTTTTGTCCAAGAGCATATATCAGAGAACCCCCAGATTTATTTACAAAATCTTAGAAATCAGAGTAGTAAGCTAAATATGAACTGTGTCTAATTGTAAGGTAAAAATAAATAACTGATCATTTTTAAAACAATTATAAATTTAATAAAAAAATAGAAATAAAATTTGAAATGCTTCCCTGTAAGCAGCAGTATTTTTTTTTTTTTAATAATTTTTTTTTTAAAAACAATGATTTTTAAATATCAATTATTCTGGGAAAATAATTGAAGTCAGCAGTTAGTATAAAAGCCTATTGTTAATTCATTCCTTACTGCTGCTTTCTTTGCCAAGGAAAGTCCCCTCCCTAGTCACTTACTGATATCAGCAAGGAGAAGTAAAATATATTTTTTTTATTTCCTACAGAGGGATTACAGAAAATGCTTGATCAAACCCAATGTGGTAGAGAAATTATCACAGTTTATTATTGGGATTAATAATAGACAAAGAAAATACAGAGAAATTGTATTAATAGAAACTTTCTCTGAAACTAAAAGCTAAATCCTGGAGGGGATAAAAGCCATTTAACATTAAAATTCAGATTTCAATTTTATTTTCTAGATCATTACATATCTTACAAACTGAGAGAAGAAAATTGAAACTGATTGACTTTTTAATATCATTAAATATAAATTTAATAGTAAAATATATTAAGCAAACTAGTTTTCATAACATCAAGTTAATTCATTTGATTCTAAGAATTCCATGCAAAACTTTGCCAACATTGTTATCAATGAATTAAAAAAAATAACAATGTCATTTCTTTGATGTTTATAAATAAGCACACTGTAACCATCAGGTCACTTGCTTTTGCACAGTAATCATGCTGTTAGGCCTATCTACTGCTTTAAACAATGTTGTCTTGCATATAAAATATTTTCTCGATAACTAACATTTCCAACATTATATGGTTTAAAGCACCATAAAAGATCCTATTGATACCCATTGTGTTTCAGCAGAATATGAAACAGCCTTAAGGTATTTGAGGAATTCTTCAGCCAGTACTTGGCAATTATGTGCTTTGCTATTGCTTAGAAAAACCATCATCATCTGGATAGGTCAGTTGTGGAGTCAAACAGAAGAAAGCAGCTTCTAAAATAGCCATGTGATTTTAACAACAATCTTGAGCTTTTTGTTTGACTGTTTAAAATAAGCCCAACAAATTGAAGTCATTTTAGCCCAATACTTTTAAAACCCACCAAAGCCAATAATCTAGTGGATTAACTTCACTTGAGAAATTTGAATTTCTTTTCTAGTTCTTGGAAGCAAGAAAAAAAACATAATGCAAAGACAAGATTTTAGCTAAGAAAGTGGTTACTGGTTTAAAAGGAAGTGATTAGTATACATGTATTAGATAGACTACTTGAATACATTCTATTTTACAGGTATACCAAAATTGAATGAAGTGAAGAAAAAACTTTTCTGGTGTTTTATTCAATGTTTTAATATAAGTCACCCATGTTATAAACATCTGAACCAGTTGTCTGCCACAATCGCAGTAAGATAAAAGTATGAAGGATCTGCTTATACCTTGATGGAAATTGCAAGACTTGAACTTGAATTCATGTCACTATTCTGGGCTCATTAGATGAACCTCTTTACCAAACAATCCAAAATATATGACCTTGAAGTAAGGGCTAACTAGATAAAGCACTTATTTATTATAGATTTACAAGTGTAACATGAAGTGCAGAGTGCATGAAAACATTAAAGTTGTCCACAACCCAGATGTAAACTTCAAGTAACAATTGTAACATAGTTATCACTGAAGTATTGTTTTATCATATAGCTTATGAATTAACTTACACTACTTGGGAAATTTTAATTTTATAACTTGCCATTGCAGAAAGTAAAATTCTATAAATGATCTGCCCAAAGTTGCAATGCTCATTCCCAGGCAGATATCACTAGTATAGGGCCAAATAACCACTATTTTGTTTTTACCTGTAACACATCCATAATAGAGCAATATGATCAATATATTTTTTAATACTATTTCAATAAACATGAACTGTAGAGTTCACTTTGAGAAGTTTTTCTGAATATCTATAAGCTGGAGAATGATGAAAAGTGGGGGAGTAAAAAGCAAAGGAAATGGAAAAAAGTTTAAAGCATGATTCTGCCGACTTTCAAGTGGGTTTTTCTTAAAGATTTTTTTAATTGGAATTTGCCATATTTCTTGACATGACATCAGTGTCTATTTTGGAGAACTCTTCATTTCCAGAAAGGAGATCCAACAAGTTCTGGCATTGGCAGTTAAATAAACCAGAGAGGAAACCACACACACAAATCTGTACAGAAAGTCACAGGCCTGCCTTTCTATTGTTTTTGGCAATAAATTATCAAAGATGCAAGTTCCTTGCATTGTTTGGAAGCTTTTTTTTTTTCAGACTGCACACTTTTTCATGTGAAACTTCACCAAACTAAATCTCATCTTCATTAAATGATAGTTTGGAACCAATGCTATGAAAGCACAAATAAGTGATTTCAGTTCAAGTGACCAAGTATCAGTTTTTGTGAATACCAAAACTAAAATTGATCACTATATATATATATATATATATATATATATATATATATATATATATATATATATATATATACACACACATATATATATATATATATATATACACATACTTCCCAGCTTCTCTGTAATTAATTTTCTTTGAATCCCAATTCTCTTGAAAAATTCAACATCATTTTTTCAGAAGACAAAACCCAATTCTATTTGTGCTTTTAGATAAGCTCCACACCATCAACAAATGCCTACCAAGTCTGCTTTCCTCCACTGGATCAAACCCAGAGGAGATAGAGTTGAACCAATCATAATATACTCACATGATCATTTCAAACGCATTCCACATGATATACAAGCAATCTTTTTTCTTTAGATTCACTAAAGAGGGAAAAAATAAAGACTTTGAATATCATACATGAAAATGCTGTAAACTTTATCATGATGAATGTGCAGTCCAAGTAGTTTCCAAAACTGTATGGAAACCAGTCATCCCATAATTTTCACAAGTTCATGGCAACATTTTTTACCATTTGAAATTTCTTTTACTCTTTCTCTGCTAATTCATTAACAAAATCATCAAAGTCTTTAGAATTTGACTCAAAGGCCTGGAGTTGGTTGGTGACATCTTGTAGTGTTTCTGCAAGGGTAAATTCTTCTTTGCATATTGTGAGTGTGGGGACTCCCTGTGTCTCTTGGTAACAGCGCCACAACTCGCTGGATGTATCTTCACCAGCAAAAGGAGGAATCTAAAATAAAATTAAAAAAAAAGTATTACCCAAAATAGCAGGGCTGACATAAAATGAGCTTTTAACATAAATATTACTTTTTAAAAAATATTCCAACAAAAATTTAAAAATATAACTGAATTTTCTCATTACTGAGCTTCAAAACAATCATAAAAGATTTTATTGTAATTCAGAAACCAAGCATTACTCAGTTTGAGGTCTACAAATAATAATAAACTATATTTAATATCAGAAGAATTTGTTTATCCGTCTTTAGTTTGAACTGAAATCAAAAGTAAATAGCAATAGAATTTTCTTTATCATAGAATATGTATATTTTTCTGGTTTAAGATCTTAAACTCTGTAGAAATAAAGTTGTTTGCATATATACAACCAGCCATGTAAGTGATAAACTTATAAAAACATTTTAGCTACTGAATATGACAAAAAATGGCGAGATGGATTTCCATTTATTTGGATTATCTTTATAGATGCAAGTTAGCTTCAACTGAAATATTTTAAAAACATTAAAAAGGCTATTAATTTGTTCCATAAATACAGAAAACTAGTGCAGCTTAGTAAATTTTTATTTTTATTGCAGAAACACATACAATAGTAATATTGTAGAGAATTACCTTTGTTTTTCTACAAAACAAAACCTAAGAAAGATGAAATTGTCACAAGTTACAAAAACTATATTGGAAATATATATATATATATATATATATATATATATATATATATATATATATATATGTGTGTGTGTGTGTATATATGCATGTGTATTTGAAAAGTAAAATAAAAGCTTCTTACTGAATCAATGAGAACAAATCCCTCCTGGTTACAGTTTTCATCATCATCATCACTGGCAGCATCACTTGCATACTGATGAAGCAAGTGTTCTGTCAATGGTGGTTCATTATCAGGGCTGGTAACTGGATCATCTGTTGCAGACGAATGTGACACACCTGAGGGACTACAACTTTGCATGTTTGGTTTATTAGCATTCTGTAGGAGGCTGATGAAAGGGATGTCGTCCATTCCACTTGAAGAAGCCTTGTTCAAATTGTAGGATAAGTCACTTGCGAAAGCACCAACAACTTGATCATCCAAGTAGTCATCATCATTTTCTTTATCAGAACTGAAGGAAAATATTGGAAAGCAATTAAAATACATAAGAGTTTGTGAATTGCATAATCTTTTCCCAAAATCATGACAGTCATTTTGAGATGTAAAGATATTCCTTGATATGAAATAAAAAGGTTATTAATGCATTTTCTTTTTCTTTAACCGAGTTAAATATATTCCATTAACTTTTTATTTCAGTTGTTGTCTTTGGACAAATTCAGCCTTGTACCAAATTGTTATGGATTAAAACAGTGGTTTCCAAATGGTATGATGCACCTCATAGGTGTGGCAGAAGAGGATAGTAGGTGAGGCAAAATGATTGAAAGACAATGAAAGATTTAGAAACAGTTTCAAAAAATTTGTATGCCAAAAATAAATATGATTTCAAAATTTTAAATATTATTATGGATTACTTGTAATATTTTTTCATTATATTAAGTATTAAGAATATAGTAACTAGGGTCCAGAAATTGGAAAAGAGAGTTATCAATGATAATATTTTGACTTTGAATCTGCAGTTATCTCCCTTTAACCCTCAGTTTTTTTTAATTTATTTTTAAATGTAGATTTTATCACATAAAATTTGGTGAGGCATGAGCAAATTTTAATTATGAAAATGTGTCAGAGAGAAAACCACTGATTTAGAAGCAATGAAAAATGTTGAGAGCTTTTTTCTCTTGCAATAAAAATCAGATCAGCTTATAATATATAACAGGATGCAAGATGAATAAAAAAAAATAGTGAACTTATAACAGCTTTATCAGGTGAAAATTAGCCTTAGAAATGAACAGATTTTGCTTTGTTTGTTTCACATACAAAACTAGGAGATATAGGCTTTCTAGAATAACTGAACAAGGAAGTGTTTTCCTTAAAAGGGAAAATATAACCATAACGGGCTGTGACTCTCTCTCTCTCTCTCTCACTTTGCGTAGCTGAGCAGACTAAAGCAAGCTGGATCAAACAGTAGTTTCTCATACAAAGTGGGAGACAGGCTTGAACTCTGTCAGAGAGCACAGTTTCAAGTTTTCTCAAGTGCATAGGCCAATTAACATAATACACTGTTTGAAAAAAAAAAAAAAAGTGGGGTGTGTAGTCTGAACACAAATATCCACGAAAAATGTTTTTATATATATATATATATATATATATATATATATATATATATATATATATATATATATATATATATATCTTACTAAAAAATAAGCATACATGAAGAAAATGCCCCAAACATAATACAAAGTTTTATTGGCAAACCTTGTTACTTTTATTATTTGATTTTTGTTTTAAATTTTTATTTTTAAAACATTTCACCTCAAGCCACTAGTAAGCAGGATGTTACAGGAAATTAAAAAGAAAAAGACTTGAGAATAGAGCGGATTGAGGAAAGAACAAAAGAACGGATTCAAGAAGACAGAAGATGGTGATTGCATTTAAATTTTTGAAGACTGTAGTTATCAAGTAAGCAAGGAAATGGAAGAAAGTTCTACAGATGGGAAGTGCAGAGAAAACTGTTGGGGTAGAAGTGACAATTGCATTTAGCTATTTTAACAGTAAAAGGGTGGTACCTAGATGCCAATCTAGTAGTGTGTTTAAATTCATGTATTCAGGGCATCAGGAAAAAAGTTTGTCAGAGCAGTTGCCATGAAAATATTTGTAGAAAAGACAGAGGGAAACTATGTTGTATCATTGGGAAAGTGATTGAAGCCTAGATGCTTGGTCAGGATCAATTAAATTACACATGCTTCTTTGGATTTTGTCAAGAATTTCTAGACGTATAGCAGGAGCACCAGACCAGATATGGCAACAGTATTCAATGCATGGACGAATGGTAGATTTGTAGATGTGCAAGACAGATTTTGATAAGAAAAATTTTCTAGCACGACACAGTGACCCAACTTTCCTTGCAGTAGATACAGCTATTTATTCAATATAGTCACTCCAGTTCATGTCAGACCAAAAGATTTTTTGATTATTATGTTTTTCTTGTATCAGCAGGGAAGCATAAATTAATATATTAAGTTTTAGTGCCTTTTTGTGGTGAAAAACACATTCATTTAGAAATTCTTGTGAAACTCAAGTAGTTGGGTTTAAATGAAAATTTCAAGACTTATTCACAAATGAATGAAATTATTTTAGAAATATTTCTTTTTATTAGAAAATTTTGGTATTTTAAAAAAAAATTTTTTTTACATATGTTACCTTACACTCATTCAATTTTATGAAATTAATTTTTGTACTACACTCATGTTTACATTAGTTATATGTAGAACTCCTTAGAGAATTTAAATAATTTTTTTTTTTGTATATAAATATAAACGTCCATATAGGACATTATCAAAAAATAAGAGTGGTAACTGTGTACGTTGTGGTGTAATGGATATCACCTCAGAATGAGAAATCAGAGAGCCAAGTTCAAATTCCAGTCAGATTTGTTACATTCACTTACGTACAAATACACTTGGGAACAGTATGAATCCATCTCTTCTCCCCCATCTATAGATTAAATAGCAGGACAGACTGGGTCCTATAGCCTTGGTTGGCAACCAGTCTACTACAGAAAGAAATGGCAACCTACTATGAGAAAATCTACCTAGTCAGTCATGAATCAAGAGGTGTGTATCCCTATTAGCTCTTAATGGACTATTGTAAATTTAAAGCTAAAGTACCTAAAATTCAATAAAACATTAGATTATGGAGAATATTAAAGCTTACTGGGTAGTTAAAAATCACATTAAAAAAATGCTCTTGTTATATTCCTCTAGTAATTTTTACACATATGAGCCTCGTAAAAAAATAATTAAACTTCCGGCTGTCAAGTTATCAATAAACCTATCAACACCTAATCAAAACACCTGTTAAAAATGCATTTCCGCAATATTTTAAACTAAAAGTAATATTTGTTTCAAATCTGATTAATTAAACTTTAAACCAGCTAATATTCCTGAAAGTTTCAGGAAAGTATATTTTATTTTTGAAAGTTTTTTTTTTTTTTTAATAAAGAGAATTACATTGTACTGACAGATGGCTAAAATCAGTGATTTTTAGTGATTTAAAAAAAAAAAAAAAATTCCTTCCAGTGAATTCAAATTAACTTTGAAATACAGCAAACAGCAGGACAGACTGGGTTCTATAGCCTTGGATGGCAACTGGTCTAAGAGAAGGACAACTCTGAATTTAAAACCTGTGAAGGGTCGTTTGGGGACCTTGTGGCAAGTAGTGCTCCAAGTCTCTGTATTCAGCCCTTCAAAAATGTGGTTGGTTCTGCACAAAACCTTCATCACTATAATCACATCATATGTCTGGTGTCTGGTTGTCAGTTCCTAGGAATTGAGTTGCTTGACCCTCAGATGTCAGTAAACAATGAAAGAGTCAAGCATATATATATATATATATATATATATATATATGGAAAACACACACACACACACACACTTATCTGCTAAAACTGACTTCATGCCTAAATTCATTCCATCTACTGCATATCAAGTTAGGAAGAGTTAATTTTCCTTGTACCATTGATGAAGAATAATCAATAGTGAGTAACTTCTGGATGCGCTATTATTATTATCCAAAGAAAAAGTGGTGGTAGCAGCTGTAGTTGGCATTGCATGAAGCACAGATAAGCGTAGGCTGATCTATTACGTTTAGAAAATCGCTTTAGCCTGGGAAGATATGCGTAAAAGAAATATACATGCATCAATACACATTTGTTTTCTTTCTGTAAGTGAAACTTAAAGGCTCATCTGGCAATTCAATGTAATTGCGAATGTCAATGTGAAATGTAATTAAACACTGATTTTTAAGTTTGAGAAAACTCTTTCACAAGCGTTTCACATAGAACGAAGTCGTTTATGTATAATTTTAAAATTTCCAACGTGTGAACGATTTTTGTCACAGGGACAAACATACGACATAAATAGAGTCAAGACTGGTTTGTTTAATATTGAAGCAAAAATTTACACATAAAAGTCAAACCTTTAAATGATATCCACTGATTTAAAAAGGAAAATGCCTTCAGGTATTTTTCTGCATTTTATTTAAGACAGACAACTGACTATGAGTATTCCTAATGGCTTATAAGAAAAAGATTTCATTACCTTGTGGATAATAAGAAAAGATCGCACATCATAAACCTCTGCGTCCCAAACAATGTTCAATCATTTTTATAATACAGTTAAAAAATATATATGAAAGATTCCACACTTCATTTGTCACAGTAAGGTGAAGGCACTATACAACAAATATTAGCTCTGCTGCTACGCCAAACAGGCAAGAAACAGCTGGGGTTTATTGTTGCTCACATCGACAGTCGGGGATAACGGAGTCTTAACACTTGATAAAAGTTAATGCCGAGACAATATTTTTTAGTATTATCATTATTTAATCCAGTTGAAAGTACCGAGTTTCGTGATTTTAAAGAATGATGGAGGCCGTTTAGGTGACAACAAAATCTTTTATGCAGCAGCAGACATTATGAATATATTATACCTTTAAAGGGAGGTAACTGTAAAGTACTTCCTAATTATTAATTCCCTTCATTTTTTATCTTCTTTTTTAATCTAAACTAGTTGAGATATTTTGGGAAACTACAATTTTTTTTTATATTTATACATTAGTAGTAAAAAAAAAATTAATGCTGGTTCATGTTTTGAACGAAAATTCAAACTACACTCAGTATCTAACCTGCTTAGATATACCAGAGATTTTCAAATTTTGTGATCTCTTTGGATCAGAATTTCTTTTGTATGACCTCTTACCATTCAATGGCATAAAAGCAATAGTGAATATGATTGCATACAATTAGTCATAATCTAATAATAACTAAACGTAGAACAAAAGAGAAAGAAAACAAAAGCGAAAGGAGAAAAAAGAAAGACAATGATATGAAATAGCTTACCTTTAAGTTAGTGGGATTAATATGAGTTTTATTTTAACAATAGTTTAAATTGTAGCTTTATACTGTCTAATTCAATGTTCTTCAAACTTGATTGATATTATTGCTTGACTTAGAAAATGCTGATCCATACAAACAAATGGTAACAAATGATAGAAAAGCTGCCATTGCTAAAGAAATTCAGCTTGAACATCAAGCCTAAATGTTGTCAATTTTAATCACACAAAAGTTTTGCAAGAGCTTTCAAATAGTATAGTTTTCTCAAGATCACTTCATTGTATAGGTTGAATAAATTTGGTGAGAAGACATGTCTTTGTGCTATTTGCTATTTTTGTGTATGTCATCAGTGTTGTACATTTCATTTATTATTTCTGCAAACTGGCTGAAGGCATATCTATAACAAACACATCTGGTCCTGCTGCTTGGTTTCTGTTTGTCTTGGCCAGTGGTTCAGACTTTAATATTTTGGGTTCTTCCAGATTTTTGTCTATTGCAGGTTTTCTCTTTGGTTGTGGAAGAGTTCTCCAATGTATTTATTCTATATTTTTTCTTTCTCTATCATCAATATTCCTCCTTAACTTTATGCATCCAGTTGATGAGAACATCTTGTCTTGTTATTTCTTTTATTCTTTAATGTCTTATCCATAATACTCATTCTATCTCCGCACACTTTTTATTGAGTCATTCCTTTTTTCACCTAACTGCATTTGTTGCTAATTTCTTTGTGTAAAGTACTATTTCCTGTATCAAACCTTGGTATCGTTTTGTCGCTTTTTCATGTTCAATTCTACTTGACTCATCTACAGTATTTTGCCCGACTTCCCACCTAGATCTGAATCTCTGTGTAATATGTATATAACTCTGTAGTTTCTGCTGTCATCTCTAAACTCCATCCCCACAATGCATGTGGACTTGATAGTATCCATGCAATAGTCTTTAAGAAATGTGTATTTGAACTGGCTCTTGTTCTTGCTAAATTTCACAATAAATGCCTTGTTGCTTCTCAATTTTCCTGCTTATTGGAAATCCACTTCTATAGTTTCAGTCTTTAAGAACTCAGACGAAGCATCAGATCCTGGTATTGGCCTATTAATCTTCTATTTCTTTTTAGCAAGTACTAATCAACTCCAAAATTGATTAAGAATCTTGTTTTTTATAGTTCTCTTTCCTTAATAATTTTTTTGTTTTCTCATTCTTTTGCACTCAGTAACCCCTTGCATCTTAGTGGCTTTATTGCCTTGCTTGGGATGAAAAAAAAAAAAAAAAAAAAGAAGCAAGCTAAAAATTTCATCTATTTACTTTTTTTCCCCTAGTTTTCTTTGAGATGATATTGTTTGCTATGTTACTAAAGCTTCTCTTAATGTGTTCCACTTTGAATTTTCAGGAGTCTGCCATATTCAGGTGCTGCTTTGGTTTTCTTTAATTCCTGTAACCTTATTCTCCCATATGTTTTACAGTGTAAAACTGTATTCCTGAATCTCTTATTGATCATTAAGTTGTTGCTCTTCCCCCATAGTATCTCCATGTCTTATAGCAACTTGAAATCAAGTGCTGGCAACTATTTAGCAATTGATGTGCACTATTGGACCCATTTTTATCTGCATTCATTATGGGTTCCTACCTAAAATTTGTCAACTATTTCCCTGCTGTGCTCCTTACCTACTTTGACATTCAGGTTTCCTATGATAATGGTAATTTCTTGCATTGCCCAGTGTGCAGTAAAACCTATCAATTTCTTCCTCTGTGCTATCAGTGCAGATACAAAAATAATGGATATATTAAATGGCTTCCTTTTCAGTTTAACTAGAATTCTATCAGATATTTGACAGTATCCCAGAATAGATTCCTTCATGTCTTTATCTAATAATAGTCCTATTCCTCTTTCATTTTTCTCTCCACCTGTATATATGAATATGTCTGTCACTGATAAAATATACTTTATTTGTCCACCACAATATTCCTAGAATAGTCATATTTAGCATTTCATTTCTCTCTTTATATTTTCTAAGTGGCCACATTGATTTAATTTTCTTAGGTACATACAGTCATGTAAAATTCATAACTAGATGAAAAGACATAACCCAACAGGTTTAGTGTCTTTACAATAAAAGTTTGTGAAGTACACAACTTCCAAAGCTTTACAGTAGAATATTTTTTTATAATTGATAGCTCCATAAAACAAAGAAACTGGCAGATTTAATAGAGTAATTATTTCAAATTGTTTTTTAATACTTTGCAATATCCAAAAGATCCTTACTGTACAAATAAGTGAAAATATGTAAAATTTTATACTTAGAAGACTTCATTACCAGTTTTGGAATGATTTCTCAATGAATGAGCTAAGCTAGTTATCTTCAATGTTCACATGCAGTATATAAAATTGATTATTCTCATCTTATTGATTATTCTGATCTTGGTTTGGCAAAAAGCCTCTAGCATTTAACTTCAAACATTTTTTGAAACTTTCAATCATTCATAATATCTTCATAAACTGTACACATTTTTGAATTCAAGTTGGATTTTTACATTAGAATAATTAGTATATGCCAAATATGCTGCCCATTTCCTTTTTTCTTCAATGATAGACTCAAACAGAAATGTCAATTTTGACAAAGAATATAAAATAAAAATACACTAATAAGACAACATTCAGAATACAAACAAAAGGGTTGGTGGGTTTGGTTTACAGCATATCAACCTCAATGGGTTATTTAATACTGACAAATTTTTTATTGCTGGTAATATTTTCTTTCAAAATAAACTATAGTTGGTAATATCTTTTTTTTTTTCTAAAAATGTATTGCTGGTAATTTTTTTTACAAAGTATTTCTGGCGTGTATTGAAACCTATTTTTACACTTTCATAGTGTTTTGACCCCAGTTTGGGTGTCAACTATTTGCCCATAGCTGAGACCCTAACAGGTGCCACCACCCAGAGTCAGGGCAGACCTGGGAACATCAGCAATTAAGTGGTGGTTCCACGCTTCTCAAAACCTCCTCTCAGAGGCCTTGCTGTTGGATGTAGTTTACCATCATACCTAGGATGGTACAAACAAAAGGGAGATTTTAAGTTAGTTAAACCTAACTGCTTCTAATAACATCTAATCACAAAACTTTGGCCAATCTAAATTCATTAGCCAGATAACATCACAGTTGTTAATATTACTGATTTGTTATTGGAACAGAGAATGAGACAGCAGGACGAAAAAACAAAAACTGAATTTGAAATCTAAAGAAGCAAGCAAGTTATGAATACTTCCATTAAACACTTAAACTATTCTGTTTCATACCAATCACTCACTACCTTTTACAGTAAAACAACACAGACAAGCAACATATTAAAAATGTAATATTACATAAAATGTATTATGTACATAAATTGCTATTTTTTAAAACAGTTTAATAAAGGACTCATTAACAATGCAATTTTTTGCATATAATTAAACATTTAGCAAGATGTAAAAACTTTAAAAAAAGTGGTGGGGGGGAGTTTTTCAGGGTAACTTTCATCCCTTAAAAATTTTGAAGGACAAAGTTACAAGCTTTTTAGAAATACATTTTTAGTAAGTAAAAAATTACTTATGCGCATGATCAAAAATTCATTGAAGACAAAAAGACATAGGCAATACTATCTACAATAACACTGAGCAATGCTTGCATGCCTCTCAATCAAAATCAGGGTTCAAAGGAAATAACTGTTCATGATCAGTTTTCTCCTTTGGTTATGAGACCATCAATAGCTTTCTGTTAATACACAGGGTGAACACTATGTGCTATATAAAAAGCCTTAAAAAAAAAAAAAATTATATATATATATATATATATATATATCAAAAATTAAACAGCAAAAATCTAATATAGCATAACACCTTGCACTTTAATGAAGTGGAGAACTATTGAATTCCTGTTCTGCAAGACATTTACATAGAATTTACTTTCTGAATTTTGGATTTTGTAGTGATTTGCTGTTTATTTCAAAATATCTGAAAAAATATGTATTTTAAACTTTTCATGAAAATTAAGAATTTCAAGAGTTTATCTAATGCAATTTTTTGTTTTTCCTCAGTTGACACTTTACAAGTTACAAATCACATAGAGAAAAAAAAAATCAAGTAGTTGGTAAATATTTTGTCTAAGACAAAACAAAACCTTAAACTAAAAGATGAGAGAATTAAGAGATTTTCTTACTCTGAAAGATCACAATCATTTCGGTGACCATTTATCTGTTGGCAAATGTCAATTGGTTGTGATTTGGGGATGTTGCCATTGCTAAGGTGAGGAGAAGGTTGTCCATCTAAAGAACCTTCAGAGTATGGTCCATTCAGTCCCTCTGTTTCTGTGTCAGAAACATTTTTATTTCTGAAAGATAAATAAGTTAGATAACAACTTAACATTGATATCTAACTCAATCTTTTCATGACATTTTTTAAAGCTTTTTTTTATTATTGATAAGTTGGTTCATTATTTTTTCTTTCTTACAGATTGGGTCTTCAGTTAAGGTGTTTTAACATAATTGGGTGTTTGATTTGTTCCCCTCCCCCATATTCCAAAATGAAGATGAATTTGCCTATTGGCCATGCTGCCAAAATTAGATATTCAAAGGAGGATTCAAAATATACAGGAATATTGTTTCATAGAAAAATGACAAAATAGTAAATTTTATTCTTACAATTTAACCCAGTGCAATTTGCCAAGAATTTTTCACAAAATTTGAGAATTTTTCTAAATTCCCCTTTTTATTCTCTCTCAAAAGATTGTTTTGTTTGAAAGCAGGAAGCAACATTTGCAAACCAACTTATCAAAAGAAAATACAAACAGGATTTGGGTGCACAAAACATGGATCATGTAAGTGCAAAGGTAAGTTAAATGGAGAAAGAAAGAAAAAAAAAATAGAAAGAAAAATTGTCCTCACACATTTCAAGCTTTCACAACCCAATAAACCCACAAAATGAAAGAAGCAACAAAGTTTAATGAAGCAGTAAACTGCAGTTCTTAGTAATTGCATGAAAAATGACACACAACATAATTCCATGAAGCTAAAGACACCAATATTTTTAGAGTGCAGAAACCAGAGTTTTGATTAAATGAAATTTTGAAAAAGATTAATCAAATATATGGTTTCTGTAAGGTTCAATGGTTAAATGTGCACACAAATATTTGGATAAAAGCAAGTTTTTATTTTTATGAATAAACTTATGTAAACCTGTGCATGCAATTCAAGTAGAAACTGTTGTAATTCTTTACAAAATACTGAAAATTTCTTGGTCTGGCCAAGAAAACTTAAAAAAAAAAAAAAAAAAATCAGCCAGATTGAGAACTTTTCAGCACTCCTCCTTCATAAACCTTAAAATTCTTTTAGCTAAATTTTTGATAAGTGAAATATTCTTTGTTTCTAAAAAAACTACAATGTGGAAAATTTTCAAGCAAAATTTGAAAATTAAAATGCATCAAAAAGTAGAGAAAGTTTGAATTGTTCATTATATTTCAAATTTAAATTCAAATCAACAGTTAATTCTGATAAAATGCATTTTTTAAAAAATTTGAATAGTATTTGGCAGTGCCGTTTTTTTATGTCTGAAATATGTGACAAATAAGTTTATGCATGCATGCGTGCGTGCTTTTCATTAAATCTTAGCATAAAGTTAGTAGTACACATAATTGCCAATCAATTTCTAATTATTCATGCATTTGAAAACTAATTTAAATAGTGCTATGTTTTTCATACATAGCAGAGAAATAAGAGTAAGTTTAAAAAAATATGAAATTGGTAAATTTGTATGAATATTTGTAAATCTATTGCACTTTTTCTTTCTTTTTTTAACACAGGTTTAACAAGTTTACTATCAAGATATTTGCATGTATTTTCTAATAAGGCCTGTTAACTACATTTGTAAGGTACACAATCTTTCCAAAGTTATATATGCAATTAAAGTTAATTTAATATTTGAATTTCTTTTTCAAGAAATTTAAATAAAAACATTTGTTTATATTTATTATAATTTATAATACCACTCAATCTCTCATGAAAATTATACCAAATCCAAGAAAATTCATAGAAATCACTATACAGGAAAGTTGTTGCAAGTCATTTTGCCAAACAGTTAATAAAAAAAATGTAGATTCTTAAAAAAAACATTGAAATTTAATGATGGAGAATTTTAATTGAAAATATTACAGTGGAATGATAACGTTTTTGTAAGTTCAAATTTCACATTCAATTATTCATGAGTTTGCCATCAAGAACTATTTTGCATTCTACAGAGGAGGAAAATAATTACAGACACCACAGTGTAGATAATGTGAAGAAAACTAACTTTTTTAGTAAGTCATAAATAAATATAATTTATTTGAGCAATTATATTTAAAGATTATTTTTTTAGTGTTTTCCTAGAAACAGACAACTGCTGTAAACAAATGAATTTGTTAATTACATTTTTTCTAAACCCAGTAAAGCATTTTCATTCATTTATATTTATTTCTGCAATTTTATTTTTGGAAGATCTATTTGCAGAGTGAAATTTAACTGTTCACATATGTCATGATGTAATAATGAATAAAAAAAAAAACAATTTAAATGTAAACAACCATTTCTACATGATCCAAAAGTTTACATAGTTTTTCCAATTTTTTTTAATACTATAAATATGTGTTAGTTAAATATGATCAACAAAATTAAGAGTTATGGTTAGAGGAGATGAATACATAGTCACTGCCCACCCACCTCTCAGAGATATCTGCACCTCTAAACCACATGTCATGCAATGATTGTTATAAATGAATTACAAATAGATGCTAAAAATTTTCAGCCCAGCTCACCTCCCAAAATATGACCAAATGAATAAATATCAGATTTTGGAATCCTTTTTGCCTCTGCAGAGAATTTTTCAGCATCCTCCTACTGTATATATTTATATGCTGTATTTGGGTGTTTGTATATTTGTTAATAATGGACATGCTTCCCTTCTCACACAAAAACTCAAATTGAAAACTCATACATTAACACGAGTCACATGTTATATTCTTATATACATAAGGTTTTTGTTCAAGGGGAATTATCAAATGGGTAAAGATCATTTTAGCACAGAAAAAGAAAAAAGTAGCAATCATCTGCCTCTTAAGTTGAATAACATTAGCAAATCATATTTGTAATTTAATTTTCTTCTCCAATATTGGTTGATAGAAAGTCTTTAGTGCTGGAAAATGTGTCCTTTTTTATAAAAATTTCTAAAGAATATTTATCCTAAAATCAGTGTCTAAATTCATTTCTTCAATATCCATAAGAAAATTTAGGACTTTTGCTCATTTTCAAATAAAAAAAAATTATACCTGGGATATATCTACTTTAAAAATAAATATACAATTAAAAATTGCAAGAAATTATTTTGGTTGGGAGTTGAAGGCTTCAAACCATTTTAGACCAAATTGTCATTAAATCTGAGAGTACCACTTCAAGGTAATTTTTAAATACTTCTAAATGTAGCATTTACTACATTAAAGGTTAAAATCGTGATCCCAATTCATAAAACAAAGCTTCTCATGACAATTGAAATACCTAAATGAAATACAGGTCAATAGGCCCTGAAGATTAGCATAACAGTTTGTTTTTCATTTTATATATGTCATTGTGAAATTTGATGTTAAGGTTTTGCAATTTTGCACAATGCTTTCATGGAAAATTTACCCTTTTTATTTTTCATTATTAAATGCTGAAACTGGTAAAATTAGAGGATTGTGTGCACACATACATATACACACATTAATATACAGTGCGCAGCAGAAATACATCCTACATAATGGTACAACATCAGTGGCAGTTGTGTCTTCATCTAGCTAATGTCTTACCATTATGTGGGAGTATCTCTGTAACTATATATATATATATATATATATATATATATATATATATATATAAATAGTTATACTGGTTTGGAAAAACCTTAGGTATTTTGGCTTGTAATTGAACAAACCAATGCCCAAGAGAAAATAAGGGATAAAAAAAGAAAGACCTAAGACCATGAAATTGAGGAGAAAACAAGTGGAGTGGGAGAAGGCATTCCACCTCAAATCAACCAACAGCTACTCAGAAAAAATCTGGGACCATCCACAAGTGTTCCTTGATCAAATTTATCGAGAAATCACAAATATTAGATCTGTATTGTCAATAGTTTTACAAAGTATCATAAAATTTCACAGTATTTTTCGTGTTTTGCATTCAGCAAAATTCTGACATTCATACATCCAAGTACAGATTTTAAATTAACAATAGTTAATGTTTACTATAGATCACAAAAATATAAACAGCTAAGGTGTGTCTTATTTTTATAGTTATTTAGCAAAATGCCAAAAAAATCCAGCAAAATTTTAAGATGCTCCAATTTTAAAACTATTGAAGATACAGGTCTAAGATTCAGGATCTATCAATAAATTTGATCAAAGACCTGTGAATTTACCAGATTTTTTTGAAAGAGTCACTTGTGACTGTTGATAGATTTGAGATGGAATGACCTATATATATTTGAAGAGGAAAGCTTCATTCAAAATGTCCTATAACTAGTTGGAAATAAAATAAAAAGTTTTTAATATAGTATTAAAAGCAAACCTACCTTCTGTGGCCTGGATGGCAGGGACGAGGTGCAGTGCATTTCCGTGGACTTCCACTCTCTGCCTTGTAGTGGTCATCCTTCATTTCTATAGCTATCTGCCGAGTTGTCTTATGCTGAGAAATCTGCATGTTTGTACGATAATCAACAAAGATGGACATGCTTCCCTTAGCTGTTGGAAAACGTCCAGCTTTTAATCTTTGATGGTCAGGCCCAAGTTCATGTAACTGTGGTGGGCCATAATAAATCTTATAGCAGATTATGTAGTTGTCAGGCCCTTGCTTGCGTGAAAGAGTGTATCCAGGAGTAATCCTTGATGTATAGACAAGAGAGCGCAAAGCCAAACACATTTTGGAATAAAGAACATGGGGGACCTTGATTTCACGATCAACATTTTCTTTGTTATCATTAAGTGCCTTGAGACCCATGTGCCAAGTCTCTAAGACCATAGAGTCCCCCTCAGTTGTTTTGAGGGAAATTTCAACACATACAGTTTGCCCTGATAGAGGTTGGTAGCCACTGGTAAAACTACGAGCACGTCGGCTGAGTTCTGGAACATCTTTTAAGGTTGGTGAAAACTGTAAGAAAAGGAAAAGGTATATTAGAAAAGGAAAAGTGAAATAGTAGCAATTTTATCAGTGAAAAAGGAGTTAATTATTCATAACATAAATCAAGTTATCATTTTAAGCATTAACTATCTGCATAAAATCCTAATTTACTCACACAGCAAATATACATTAAAATTATAGATTCTATATCCTATGCTCCAAATGTTAGATACACATTGAATAGATATCAAAATCCAATATTTCAATGATCATAAAGAAATACAAAATCTTTATAATTTTAATAAGCAATCATCCCTCGTTCCAAAATGCAAGACAGCGGTTGGGTCCAAACCACAACAAATTCCTTAAATATCTTAGTATCTGACCCTTACTTGATGATTTAATGTAAGCTGTAAGTAATATTTACCTTTAGATTTGTGAGAAAATTTATTTTTTGATAATCATGCAGACAAATTTACTTTTTCGATTCTTTTCAGACAAATGCTAAACTATTTTAAAACAGTGAAACTGTAAAAATGTTAATTTTATGAAACATTTATTCATGAAAGATATTTTCTGTTTACAATAGCAGGCCATCTAGTTAATAAAATACAAGCAAGTTATAATTAGGAAATAAATTAGAACATTAGCTATTATTTATTACAAGGAACAGCTTGGGTATTATTGGTTTAATCTCATTTAAGCCAAAGGTTTCTTTTTAATGCTTCCATAGATGACAACTATAGAAGTGGGAAGTAGAAAGAACCAATTCAAAATGTAAGGTAAATTTATAAGTGTTAAGAAAAAAATATTTAGTTTACTATTTACATTATTCAGACTATTGTCCTCATCGTTGTCGCCATATTTATTACAACATTTCAGCCGTTGTACACTCCAGCCTTCTTCAGGTGGTTGGAATGTCGAACTGTACCCTTCATTTCGCTCACTGGGATAGTTCCACATGCCATGTCTAATGGATGTCAGTTATCAGTTATCTCCTGTTAATTCCTCTCTCCAAGTTCTCAACTGCCTTAACCAGGTATTGAACTCACACTCTTTGGGTCCTGTCACTGGATCTAACTAACACCTTTATCCACTGTGCATGAATTTCTGGGTATTATAAACCTAATATCTTCAGCAATCATTTTTACCAGTGCTCATATTGCAATTTTTGTTGTTATTATTGCTTTTCTCTGGCACTCCTTATTACTGGTTCCCATATTGTATTCATTTCTATGCTTGGTCGGCCCAGGAGATTTTTGTGGCTTAGCATATGTGCTGATTCCTTAAGTTTATGAATTTTCCAATGGTGTTCTTTGTCTATGATCTGAACCTGATACCACAGAGGGCGGTGATCTCCCTTTTCTCTCCATATGTGGTCAGCTACACCTGATTTTTCCACGTTCCCTCGTGTTACAACTTTCTGGTGTTCTTGAAACCTTACCTTAAGGGGGCAGCCTGTCTCCCCTTTATATTTCTTTCTGCGGGATAGCATACACACAGTGTTCAGTCATGTTCTCCTCTATGGGGTGGGGGGCTTATTCGGGAGAGATATCTGCAAAGTGTCGTCCAGCTTTTGAAGGTTGTCCTGATGTTATATGAACCGCAAATCCTTTGTATTTTCTGACAACCCCTTCACATAAAGCAGACAGACTGTTTTCTGAGTTTTGTTGTCCTCCTCTTGTAACCACCTATCCAAGTTTTTTGAGGCTTCTGCCATGTACCCAGGGTAGTTGTTATGTTGTAGGATACTACTTATACTGACCAACATGGCCAGTATAAGTAGTACCCTCACTCAACGTACAGTCCATATATCAGGACAACCTTCAAAAGCTGGACAACACTTTGCAGATATCTCTCCCAAGTAAGACCCCCGCTCCCCCGCTAGAGGACACATGGCACAGTGGATAAAGGCATTAGTTAGATCCAGTGACAGGACCCAAAGAGTGTGAGTTCAATACCTGATTAAGGCGGTGAAGAACTTGGAGAGGGGAATTAACAGGAGATAACTGATAACTGACATCCATTAGACATGGCATGTGGAACTAGAACAGTCTACCCCAGTGAGTGAAATAAAGGGTTCAGTTCAACATTCCAACCACCTGAAGAAAGCCGGAGCTTCTGACAGCCGAAACATTGTAATAAAGATGAGGACAATAGTCCGAACAATCTAAATAATGTACATAATACCTCATTTCAGAAATATAGACAGATACTTATTATTCTTACACAAGATTTTCCAGCCTCTAATCCTAGGCTTAGATCATATTTTTTACATTAACAACTGACCTACATGAATCAGCAAAGATTGGCTTCAATTATATTTCTTGTTGATTTTTTTTTTTAATATTCAAGTCAAACCTTTTGAAAACAATGAAAAAATAGTAAATTAACCAAGCTTTTTGCTGTCCCTAGGCCAGTCATGAAATTAATCACAGCATCATTCTCACTCACTGCCATTGCTTACTCTAATAATTTAGATAGTTATGGCTTAACTAGGAGACAAAAATATTTAAGCTACATAATATCAGTGTTATAAGAAATTGACAGATACATATATTTTGTCTGGATCAAACAAGAAATAAATAAAACTAATATGTACTATTTGGTCAGTTAACAGTTAAAATGTATAATGGATACAAGAAAATATAAACCCTAACGACTACTTGAAAGACACAAATGGAAAGCTACAACTGACAGTAACATTTTTGAAGAAATTTCTAGAAATTATACAAGAACAAAGATTATATGAAATTTTCACAAAAAGGAAAAATTTTTTCTTCAAACCAAAATCTTGTATTTTTTTTTTAGTTCTATGAAAAATATGCAGAGCAAATTTAAATCAGATGTATTACCTTAAAATATAAGTTACCCACTTCAATGAGAGAACCTTATTCTTATAGAATTTCAAAGAAAAATGTTTAAATATTTAGACAAAATTTTATTGAACAGAAATTTGACATCCAGTTTTTACTTATAATTACAGCCCAAGCCATCAACAATTTTTCTGTTTTCATGAGTATAAAGAAATAAAAAGCATGTCAACAAAGCTATAGACTTCTAAAGTGCTATAAAGTTTTATTAGAACAGTTGAAGCAACTTATATGATGATGCAAGTGTCTAGTGATCCAAATTTGGTAACCCAGTACAAAATACATCACTGATATGGTATCTACTTGATAACATTTCAATTATACTTTATAAAAAATTTCCTTTGTCCCTAGTCAATTCAAAAGGAATTTAAGTTTCAAATGTATATACAAAAATAAAAGCTCATAGGATTAACATGGAAGCCATGCTTCAGTTCATTTTACTTTTACCAAGATTTTTCAAGACAAATAGCTCATAATGATTTCCTTGCAAACAAGACTGTTTACTTTGGAATAAACATTTAGAATAGGAATTTTTATCTAGTTCTCAACATACAATACCAAGACATGTTTTGAATTAATTTTTCCTTGCAATTATCAATCAAATTACTAGAAACAAAGCTATTTTGCTGACATATTTACATTTAATGAGTATGATATATATAATTGAACCAAAACAAGACTGATGTGAATTGACAAGGAATGAGATTATTTGGTTAAGCGAATTGACAAGGAATGAGATTATTTGGTCAAGCGAATTGACAAGGAATGAGATTATTTGGTTGCTTAATTGACAAGGAATGAGATTATTTGGTTGCTTAATTGACAAGGAATGAGATTATTTGGTTAAGCGAATTGACAAGGAATGAGATTATTTGGTTAAGCGAATTGACAAGGAATGAGATTATTTGGTTAAGCGAATTGACAAGGAATGAGATTATTTGGTTAAGCGAATTGACAAGGAATGAGATTATTTGGTTAAGCGAATTGACAAGGAATGAAATATTTGTTGCATAAAATACATTTTTCATTAGTTTAGGGACTGAAAACATCAAGCAAGCCATCAGACAAAGATGCTTAATCTGGAAGTCTCTAAAGATTGAGTGTTTTAATAGAGTAGCCCAAATACATCTCCTATATAGCAATAACCTTGACTTACCTAGTATTACTTCACACATTTCAATTTAAGTTTCTCTATTAACAGAAGAGAACTCAAAATTTAAATTATATCAAATTTTATGCTCATTTAAATATGGAAATTTTTGAAAGTGAACAAAATTATCACAAAAATATTGCAAGCACAACACACATAAAAGTAATTATGAAGATATCTGGTTTATTTTTTAACAAAGCAATTTTTATAGACCTACATTGTTTTAAGTAAAAGAAGAAAAAAAAAAGCAAAGAAAAGCATTTGACCTAATTGTGCCCAATTTATGAAAGGTTACCTATTTTACAACTGATTTAGCACAGAACAATACTTAATAAATAAGAAATAAAATAATTTTTTTTTAATTTGTTTTTGGGTGATATTTTCATGAGATACTATAAAACTTAAAGATATCACATTATAGAAAAGCATTTTCAGTCTTTGATCAGTGAAATGCATTTTTATAGTAATCAAGAGAAGTTATACAGATTTTGTAAAATTATATTAGAACACCACCCATGTAGAAAGTCAAAATAACTTCTAAGCATCTAATTAAAGCTCCCACATAAAAATATTCTAGTTACACTGAGAGCTACATTTTTTTTTTTATATAAAATTATCTTCACTGAGCAACACAACAAATAAAGCAATTTCGATATTTTAAATTTACTGAGAGAACAAGAAAAGTTATTTCCTAGCATATAAATATCCAAGTTCTGGTGCAAAATACAAGCTTTTCTTGCATAAGCAATTGTGCTGACAAGAAAACTTACAACTAAAACTTTTGGCTTTCAATCTTTACATAATAGAGAAATATATTAAAAATGATGAGTAATAAAGCACTGATTTCAACAAATAAATAACACAAGAGGTAAAAAAACAAACAAGAAAATTTACTTTTAGTTTATGTGTAGACCAAGTTAATATTCCTTTTAGGACAAAAAAAAAAAATGAATACATGTATCAGTTTTTATATATGAGGTGCCTTATATGTTAGAACATCTTGCTGC